AAAAAAAAAAAGAATTTAGAGCTCCAAAACATAAATAAATGTTAAAAAAAATCCATTTTTCTTTTTTAAAAAATGAGAATAATGTAAATCACAGTATTATTTTTTTCACCCTTGCTAAAATCCAGGATTCTAATACGCACCATTTCTGATCTTTTTCTAAGTGCTCTTATTGTATATGAAACCTGTTTTAAAAAGCTGTATCATAATCTTCTCTGAGAAAGCAGGGGACAGACAATAGTCTTATATAAAATCCACCAGTAAGTAACAATGTTCTTATGAAAACAATCAACCAGAATCATGAATATTTCACTAGCAAGGGAGAAGTTTCTTTACAGAGCTGTAAAACTTTAATGGGGGAAAAATACATGCTAAATTAGCCTTAATCACTAAATGAGTACTCACTGGAACTGGAATTCCAAATGGAACTGGAGCATACTGAGTATAAAGATGAAGGGGTATGGGCACAAACACTGGTACGGGAACTGGCACCACAATAATTTGGGGCTGACTTGGAGTGTCTTCTAATTAAAAACAAAATCACAAGAAAATAAAAAGGGTTAGAAACATTTTAATAAAATTCCAAACACAAAAAAAGTTTATGGAAATTTATGGTTTAAATTATGTATAAGTTCTTACAAAGGGGAAATAACTAATGTAGCAAAAAAGAGGCCTGAGTATATCTCTGTCAAAAAATTGGGTAATATAATAAAAATCAGTAATGTGAGGATTATATAAATGTAGGACATAAAAATTATTTTCAGGATATAATTTAGATGAATGATGAGAAAGAATTGAAACTGATCTTAGGAGAGGTATGGAAAACTGCTAAAATAAGTAAGTAGGACATGCTACAGAGAGAGGGACGATTTTCAGGAGGCTATAATGTCCATTTTAAAATCATCTGTAGCAGACGGTACGGAGCTACTACAGATTTGTTAGCACAGAAGTAAGGTGATGAAAACAGCATCAAAAAAGGTTAATTTGGCTATTTTAGCTAGGAATAAAAAACATATCAACTGTTAAAGAGCTACTACAGATTTGTTAGCACAGAGTAAGGTGATGAAAACAGCATCAAAAAAGGTTAATTTGGCTATTTTAG